AAAATATTACTAGAAAATAAGTCTTTCATAAACAATGTTTAAAAAAACCGACCTCAATCCTCTTTTTTTATAGTCGGTTAATTAATATATTAAAACCTCCTCCTGAATGTGACTAACACATTTGTTAAAACACACCAGAATGCAAATCGCGCACAAACATACATATACAAGGTGTAGTTTTGAAATCGTATAATTTCTCGGGGACATGTTACAAAAGTCATAAAGGTTCAATGTAAGAGAAAGTTTCAGGCCAATTGTTAAAAATCCGCCAATAATAAATCGTTAAGTTCGACAGTATTTCAGAATAAGCGATATCAATGTTTCTTATTGGAGTTTTATGGAATTAGGTATAATATCAATTACGTTTTTTCTTTTTGGGAGTCGGTTAAAAATTACGAAAATACTTTTCTTAGCGAGCAAATTTTATAGCACCGACTTTATGATCTCAGAAATGAAACAAGATTGTAACTCACTGATACGTTTCATCCGTCTTTGAACCAGGAAGTTGAGAAGATCTCAGTTCTATTTTTAATGACCGTTGCGGTATCGTTTTTTATTTTAAATTACGCCGATGTCCGTTTTGCGGTCATCCCTAATTTCCCTCGAGATATCCTTATTTATGTACTTTTTCCTTCATGTATTTTCTCCTCATTTGAACTTTGAATCTTTTTGATTGATGGTCTTTTAATCTTTGAAAGATTTTTTGATAAGTCTAAGTGAGATTTTTATTCTACAAGAATATTATACAACATAACATAACATCTGACCTTTTATCCCCGATAGGGTAGGCACATTGCGGCACGTAGTTGGCTCCGTGCTATAATGTGCACCTCTGCTCCGATAACCTCACTCACACGACGAAACACAACGCAAGCGTTGTTTCACGTCGGTTTTCTGTGAGGCCGTGGTACTCCGGTCGAGCCGGCCCATTCGTGCCGAACCATGGCTCTCACACATTTAATTACGGTGTTTTCTGACATTAACTGATCAATAAATTCTATCAGATTTTTAAGAGATATTTTGCTTTTACTTATCATATGTACATACAATATACTTTTAATTATTTATTGTAGCTTTTTATATATTTTTAGACAGTATTTATTATTACTATTAGTTATTTTTTTTTGTTTTTTTTTTAATATTACACAAGCCCATTTTCGCTGACCTTACATTTAACCCAAAGGTTGACTGGGAGAAAATGCCATAAGCCATTAAGTACCTGATTATGTGGGCATTAAAGTGTTAATAAAAAAAAATGAAACTATCATCTGTTTACATAACCTCGAAAACGAAGCCATAATTTCTTAATAGCCTTTAAATAAACCACAGACGTATCTACATTTCACCACGAACTGGCAATAAATCGTGCAAACAAGTCATTTTTCAGACAACTGCGTTAATAAATAGAGTGTTGAAATACATTTATATTAGACCACAAATAAATGCAATAGGGTACAAAATGCTATGATTTACGGCCGCTATGCATGACCACGTACATGGTGATTTATTTGTAATTAAATTAGATGTACTGGGGTTGACTAAATGGCTTTCTGGTTCAGTGAACTGAGTATAGTTAATAACAGGTCAGTTTTGAGTTCTATGATTTATTACGAACTAGATTTTACCCGCGGCTATGAGTAACCTATGGAGTTTCTTGCTCGTTCTTCTCCATAGGAATCTACACTTTGGAACGAGCAAATAGCTTCACTAGAGGACTGACCTACAGACTGACATTTTTTCTTATTATTTATATATAACATCACGCCTTTTTATCCCCGAAGGGGTAGGCAGAGGTGCACATTTCGGCACTTAATGCCACTGTACAAT